AAAATGCAATCTCTGCAGAATTCGGAATTTTAGCAGCAAGCCTTCCGAGTTAATGGTTTTGAAGGATTAACGATGTTACTCGGATGATTAGCAGAACAGTGAAGGTCAAGATATTCCCGTATTTTAAAATTTTAAATTTTCGAAGTGATGACGTAACTTTTCTGAGAAATGCTGAAATGGCCATTTTTAACAAAAAGCGAGTGAAAAGAGAGAACAACTTTATCTGTGATAGAAAACAGTACGGAAATCGAGACTGAAAAACGACAACGAACTACAGAATAGCAGAGAGCGTTCCGAGTTGCAACTATTGTGCTGCTACAATAGTTGCAAGGCCGTTGCGAACAACGGTGAAGGGTGAAAACCAGCCTTCCGAGTTATCGTGAACTTGAGATTAAGGAGCTTGATTCGGCGGATTCAAGAATCCGGAAGGGTCTCGGGACGGAAACTTTTATTGACTCTGATAAACTTTTAGCATCCTGTCATGTCCTGACTTGAATTTAATTAAGATCTTAATTCGTTTTGACAAGAATGAGGAGCTAGAAAAGGGGGGGAAAGGGTTGATCCATCTTCGATGGAGATGATGATTTTTATCTACTGAACAAATACAATAGTAATATAATAAGTAGTAGCCCTGTTTTTAGGAGTGACCTCGTGGTCTGGGGATACTGAGACCCAGCCATGAGCTCACTAATTTTGCATGTAGTTCAGTTAATTTGAGCGTTCTGGTCGAAGCCGGAGAACAGTAACGTTTTTGTCGACCCGATGTTGTAAAAGACCACCGAAAAGTACTGGCTTGGTAGAGACGGTGAAAAACATGCAAAGCTCTGTTTAGACGCTAGCCAGTCGTCTTAAGACTTAGTTTTGTTATCCGTCGATATGTATCTTCCGGGCGAATGTTACAAGCCCTAATTTGCCGCTGCTGTGTTTCAGATGAATGGGCTCTTGTTTGAGCAAGAACGGGTCGAACAGATATGTGCAGCAAGCTGCCATGGGTTCAACTACGCACACCCCTATAATGGGGCATACAGGCATGGTAATACAGCAAGGTGGAATGCCTGCAGCCGCGCCTCACCAACAGTTGCAACCAAACTGGGCTAAAAATCAGCAAGCTAGAAATAGCTTACCAGGAGCTAATAACCGTACAATGGTGTCTGGCCTGAATCAGGGTCGACCAAATCAACCGAATCAATACACTCCTAATCCCGTAAGTTTTGATATTCGAATTTATTGAGTATGTGAATGTCTAATTTATGAGGGCGCTGATGAGACTTATCAGAGCATAGAAAGCTGAAAAATCTGAGGTTTTGTTTCAATACGATTTTATTTGTTAGGTCAAAAATATAAATTATAATAACTATAGGGTAAGAATATTATCTTAAAACTTGTTCATCGTTGTAAAAGTGAATTGAAGAATTTGTGCTTTGAGGTGCCTGTTTATTTGGCTGATTGACGTCATTTTTCTGTCTTATATTCTGATCCACCAATTTAGTCTTTTGATCGGTAAGAGGTTTCAAAATTGTGAAAGTTTGTTTTGAAGCAATATGAGAACACGTTCATCTGAATTTTTCTCTTGAAAATGATCTCTCTGAAAAGATTAAACCATAATTTACTTTGAATCTTGAACCTTGCTTTTAGCAAACATCAAATTGGATTATAGACTACTTGTTCCTGTAAACTGAGTACTGCTGATGTGTTTTATCCGCTTTGTTGGTGGCTCGTGTTTTGTGGAAAGCAAGGACTAATAACTCAACTCTAAAGACTTCAGAGTGTAAATTTGTTGGTTGGATGTTCGTTTTTCTAGGATCATTTACTTTTTTGTACACTTTCTGGCTTTTGTAAAGTTCATTTTTGCTATTTCTTTCAGTTTTTGCACTAGTTATTTTCAGCTCAACGGTCGTCTTATCAAGTATCAATCCACTTTTGTCTCTAAGCAGGTCATTTTTTTAGTGAGGTGTCAAATTTATTTAGTTGAACAGTGGGAAAATTTGGAAGGGATTAAATTTAACCACCGCGCGAAAATAAATACCAAAGTTTTTTTGTCTGTCGGGTGTCCAAAGAGAGGGTTCTTTTTATTTTGGGCAGGGTACTCCGCTTCGCCTCTATGCTTAAAGCTCTTTCAAATTTTGAATTGAATGTTGTCCATTGTTGTTTATGGTAGGACTTTAAAACTTTTTCTCTATCAAATCCTTTTTTTTCGGCTCAACTTGTCGGCTTTGTTTCTTTTCGTAAATTTTCTTCCATTGTTGCTGATTTAAAATTCTAACATCTGGCATGTTTGCCTGATACGAAATAAAATGTACGAAATAAAATTGTTCAAATTTTGTTCATATGGTATTTCGCATGTAGAAAAAGTTGTATAGTTGTTTTTCACTTGTTTACGCTTTAATATTTCAATTAGTTCAAAACATTTAAGCTTATTTGAAGTAGTTTTTTTTTGTGAATTGAAATTCAGAAAAGATGAAATTGGACTAGAAAAGAGCTGTCGCTTCCCTTAACTTTTGCGAGTTGTCACGGTACCACTATTTTCGGATAATTGAAAATGGGAGCAACTTTGTCTTCGGCTGTCTTCAGTTTTTCTTTCTTTTTCACGCAAAATCAGATGCCACAAATATTCATTAGAATGGGTCGAATGATATATCAAATTAAAGCCCTTTCAGTCGTGAGTCGAACGATATTTAAAAATCGCAAAAAGTTGCTCTAGTGTCAAGCAAAACCAATATGAAAGCAATCGAGTAACGTTCATCATTTTCAAATTGGTCAGTTAGGCTAGATAATTTTGATTTTTTCTAGATGGAAAACTAGTTTTGGAAGCTTCATTTTGTTCTTCCTTGGCATTCAAAAGGTTCTGAAAAAATAATTTATCGCGTTTTGTTTGTTATTCATTGTTTGAAGACAACTGTTAAGAATTATACCTAATTTACTAGCTTGAAATGCGTTTGTATGTTTGCAAGAACGACGACACTAATTGAAAGAAAAATATATATATTTTTTGTAGTTCTATGAATGTGGTCGGAACATTCTGTGCTACTTGCACAGCCACTGGTTATCTTTGTTTCAGTTGCATTCAAATATCCTTGATTGTTGTTTATATTCGTTGATTTTACGAATCAAACATGCAATGCAAAATTCTGAAAGATTAGTCAGTTTAGCAGCCCGGAAAAACTGGCTCCAATCCGCCTCTGGTCCCTTCGGGCGTGTCACTGGCCCCTATGCCGGGAGGAACGAACAGTCCAGCCAACACATTCGTCATGAACAATGGAAGCACTATCAACAGTGCAACCGCCACCCAGCGCCGATAAAGTTTGCTAATTCCAATGCTTATAAACGAGTTGAAATCTAGTTCTCTTAGTTGAGTCGGATTTATCTCCTCCTTACTATCTTAGTCCTTGCTTCCATGGGGGGATATCGGTGTCATCCATTTGGCTGTAGCCGCTCTCACGTTGAGGAGGGATCCCTCCAACCGTGACCGAAGTGGAAATAATTGTACAATCCATTTCAATGTGAACTCTAGTATCAATCGAGAACATCGTTAAAAGGGCTTTTACCCCAACCAAAATCAGAACCTCAGTGGGCTATTATGAGGCTTGAGAGTTTGTATCAGAATGAGTAGTGGTTATTCAGGAACAACGGGGTCCCAGCACAAAAGCAGCTTGCGTGGGGGAAGTGTGAGATCAGCTGGAGGAACTGTTCATGGTCATCAAGGAGGCATGCAGTCAGGGACTCCAGGGATGAACAACCGGGATTCACCTTCCAGCACTAACAAGAATGTTTTCATTGCCAAGTTTGACTAACACTTGTCAAACAGATGACGACCTGCCATTCAAGTGACTTTATGTTACGTGAGTGGTTGGATTTTGGATATTGAAAAACTCCAGCTGAAATTTTGATAGTGTTGAGATAAATGGTTTGAAGAATCCGATTTTTTTTGAATTTTTTTGGCGTCATAAAATATGGATCAAGTTAACATCCTCCCACCCAAGTAGACCAAGTTAAGATCTTCCACCCCAGCGTTGAATTTAAATTAATTTTGATTAAAAATGCTCTATTCTGATTGGCTGAAAAGTCGAACTCAGAACCAAGTTAAGACCCTCCCCTAAACGGATGGGGGGTGGTGTGTTAACTTGGTCCTAAAATCTTACTGAAGGAGCGTTAAGCCAATAAATGTTACACTTTTACGTTTATAAAGATTTGAATAATCATTTAAGGAAGCCGAGGTTTGCGTCTTCACGCAGCATAGAAAAAATACGAAAACAGTTCAAAAAATTATTACACTTGCGAGAGAAATTGTCTTAACTATTAAGCTCTAATTGGTTACTTTTTTTGTTCGTGTAGCAATTATCTTGGGCAGGGGCGGATTAACGGGGGGGGGGGGGCTTTCGCCCCCTTCCTCATTCGACCCCCTGCCTGCCCAAAGGGTCCCCCTTTGGTACTTTTTAAGATATCCATTTTTGGCCGACCGACCCTAGATTTTTTTCTAACATAAACTAATTTTGAGGGGGAGCGCGCGCCAAAAAAATGCGATGTTTTGGTCAACTTTTTCCAAAAAGTGCCTAAAAACGCGCCTTTTTTTGACAGTTTTTTCAATATTTTGCCTGCGGCGCAGAGAGTTTGGCCAAAACAGGGACTAAACCGTGCTTAGGGAGAGCTCGAAAAATCACTATCAACAGTGCAACCGCTACCCAGTACCGACAAGGTTCGCTAATTCCAATGCTTATGCACGAATTGAATTCTAGTTTTCTTGGTTGAGTCGGATTTATCTCCTCCTAACTATCTTCGTCCATGCTTCCATGAGGGGATATCGGTGTCATCCATTTGGCTGTAGCCGCTCTCACCTTGAGGAGGGATCCCTCCAACCGTGACCGAAGTGGAAATAATTGTACAATCCATTTCAATGTGAACTCTAGTATCAATCGAGAACATCGTTAAAAGGGCTTTTACCCCAACCAAAATCAGAACCTCAGTGGCCTATTATGAGGCTTGAGAGTTTGTATCAGAATGAGTAGTGGTTATTCAGGAACAACGGGGTCCCAGCACAAAAGCAGCACGCGTGGGGGAAGTGTGAGATCAGCTGGAGAAACTGTTCATGGTCATCAAGGAGGCATGCAGTCAGGGACTCCAGGGATGAACAACCGGGATTCACCTTCCAGGACTAACAAGAATGTTTTCATTGCCAAGTTTGACTACACTTGTCAAACAGACGACGACCTGCCATTCAAGTGAGTTTATGTTACGTGAGTGGTTGGATTTTGGATATTGAAAAACTCCAGCAGAAATTTTGACAGTGTTGAGAAAAGTGGTTTGAAGAATCCGATTTTTCTGAATTTTTGTTGGCGTCATAAAATATGGATCAAATTAACATCCTCCCACCCAATTAGACCAAGTTAAGATCTTCCACCCCAGCGTTGAATTTAATTTAATTTTGATAAAAAAAATGCTCTATTCTGATTGGCTGAAAAGTCGAACTCAGAAATAAGTTAAGATCCTCCCCCTAAACGGATTGGGAGGGGAGGATGTTAACTTGGTCCTAAAATCTTACTGAAGGAGCGGTAAGCCAATAAATGTTACACTTTTACGTTTTTTAAAGATTTGAATAATCAATTAAGGAAGCCGAGGTTTGCGTCTTCACGCAGCATAGAAAAAATACGAAAACAGTTCAAAAAATTATTACACTTGCGAGAGAAATTGTCTTAACTATTAAGCTCTAATTGGTTACTTTTTTTGTTCGTGTAGCAATTATCTTGGGCAGGGGCGGATTTACGGGGGGGGGGCTTTCGCCCCCTTCCTCATTTGACCCCCCTGCCGGCCCAAAGGGGTCCCCCCTTTGGTACTTTTTAAGATATCCATTTTTGGCCGACCGACCCTGGAATTTTTTCTAACATAAACTAATTTTGAGGGTGAGTGCGCGCCAAAAAAATGCGATGTTTTTGTCAACTTTTTCCAAAAAGTGCCTAAAAGCGCGCCTTTTTTGGACAGTTTTTTCAATATTTTGCCTGCGGCGCAGAGAGTTTGGCCAAAACAGGGACTAAACCGTGCTTAGGGAGAGCTCGAAAAATCACTATCAACAGTGCAACCGCTACCCGGCACCGACAAGGTTCGCTTATTCAAATGCTTATGCACGAATTGAATTCTAGTTTTCTTACTTGAGTCGGATTTATCTCCTCCTTTCTATCTTCGTCCATGCTTCCATGGGGGGATATCGGTGTCATCCATTTGGCTGTAGCCGCTCTCACCTTGAGGAGGGATCCCTCCAACCGTGACCGAAGTGGAAATAATTGTACAATCCATTTCAATGTGAACTCTAGTATCAATCGAGAACATCGTTAAAAGGGCTTTTACCCCAACCAAAATCAGAACCTCAGTGGCCTATTATGAGGCTTGAGAGTTTGTATCAGAATGAGTAGTGGTTATTCAGGAACAACGGGGTCCCAGCACAAAAGCAGCACGCGTGGGGGAAGTGTGAGATCAGCTGGAGGAACTGTTCATGGTCATCAAGGAGGCATGCAGTCAGGGACTCCAGGGATGAACAACCGGGATTCACCTTCCAGCACTAACAAGAATGTTTTCATTGCCAAGTTTGACTACACTTGTCAAACAGACGACGACCTGCCAATCAAGTGAGTTTATGTTACGTGAGTGGTTGGATTTTGGATATTGAAAAACTCCAGCAGAAATTTTGACAGTGTTGAGAAAAGTGGTTTGAAGAATCCGATTTTTCTGAATTTTTTTTGGCGTCATAAAATATGGACCAAATTAACATCCTCCCACCCAATTAGACCAAGTTAAGATCTTCCACCCCAGCGTTGAATTTAATTTAATTTTGATAAAAAAATGCTCTATTCTGATTGGCTGAAAAGTCGAACTCAGAAATAAGTTAAGATCCTCCCCCTAAACGGATTGAGGGGGGGGGGGTTGAAGGGAAGGGTAGGATGTTAACCTGGTCCTAAAATCTTACTGAAGGAGCGTTAAGCCAATAAATGTTACACTTTTACGTTTATAAAGATTTGAATGATCATTTAAGGAAGCCGAGGTTTGCGTCTTCACGCAGCATAGAAAAAGTACGAAAACAGTTCAAAAAATTATTACACTTGCGAGAGAAAATGTCTTAACTATTAAGCTCTAATTGGTTACTTTTTTTGTTCGTGTGGCAATTATCTTGGGCAGGGGCGGATTTACGAGGGGGGGATTTCGCCCCCTTCCTCATTCGACCCCCTGCCAGCCCAAAGGGTCCTCCCTTTGGTACTTTTTAAGATATCCATTTTTGGCCGACCGACCCTAGAATTTTTTCTAACATAAACTAATTTTGAGGGGGGGGGGGGTGGCGCCAAAAAAATGCGATGTTTTGGTCAACTTTTTCCGAAAAGTGCCTAAAAACGCGCCTATTTTGGACAGTTTTTTCAATATTTTGCCTGCGGCGCAGAGAGTTTGGCCAAAACTGGGACTAAACCGTGCTTAGGGAGAGCTCGAAAAATCACTATCAACAGTGCAACCGATACCCAGCACCGACACGGTTCGCTAATTCCAATGCTTATGCACGAATTGAATTCTAGTTTTCTTACTTGAGTCGGATTTATCTCCTCCTTACTATCTTCGTCCATGCTTCCATGGGGGGATATCGGTGTCATCCATTTGGCTGTAGCCGCTCTCACGTTGAGGAGGGATCCCTCCAACCGTGACCGAAGTGGAAATAATTGTACAATCCATTTCAATGTGAACTCTAGTATCAATCGAGAACATCGTTAAAAGGGCTCTTACCCCAACCAAAATCAGAACCTCAGTGGCCCATTATGAGGCTTGAGAGTTTGTATCAGAATAAGTAGTGGTTATTCAGGAACAACGGGGTCCCAGCACAAAAGCAGCACGCGTGGGGGAAGTGTGAGATCAGCTGGAGGAACTGTTCATGGTCATCAAGGAGGCAAGGCCTCAGGGACTCCAGAGATGAACAACCGGGATTCACCTTCCAGGACTAACAAGAATGTTTTCATTGCCAAGTTTGACTACACTTGTCAAACAGACGACGACCTGCCATTCAAGTGAGTTTATGTTACGTGAGTGGTTGGATTTTGGATATTGAAAAACTCCAGCAGAAATTTTGACAGTGTTGAGAAAAGTGGTTTGAAGAATCCGATTTTTCTGAATTTTTTTTGGCGTCATAAAATATGGATCAAATTAACATCCTCCCACCCAATTAGACCAAGTTAAGATCTTCCACCCCAGCGTTGAATTTAATTTAATTTTGATAAAAAAAATGCTCTATTCTGATTGGCTGAAAAGTCGAACTCAGAAATAAGTTAAGATCCTCCCCCTAAACGGATTGGGAGGGGAGGATGTTAACTTGGTCCTAAAATCTTACTGAATGAGCGGTAAGCCAATAAATGTTACACTTTTACGTTTTTTAAAGATTTGAATAATCATTTAAGGAAGCCGAGGTTTGCGTCTTCACGCAGCATAGAAAAAATACGAAAACAGTTCAAAAAATTATTACACTTGCGAGAGAAATTGTCTTAACTATTAAGCTCTAATTGGTTACTTTTTTTGTTCGTGTAGAAATTATCTTGGGCAGGGGCGGATTTACGGGGGGGGGGGGCTTTCGCCCCCTTCCTCATTTGACCCCGTGCCGGCCCAAAGGGTCCCCCCTTTGGTACTTTTTAAGATATCCATTTTTGGCCGACCGACCCTGGAATTTTTTCTAACATAAACTAATTTTGAGGGGGAGTGCGCGCCAAAAAAATGCGATGTTTTTGTCAACTTTTTCCAAAAAGTGCCTAAAAACGCGCCTTTTTTGGACAGTTTTTTCAATATTTTGCCTGCGGCGCAGAGAGTTTGGCCAAAACAGGGACTAAACCGTGCTTAGGGAGAGCTCGAAAAATCACTATCAACAGTGCAACCGCTACCCAGCACCGACAAGGTTCGCTAATTCAAATGCTTATGCACGAATTGAAATCTAGTTTTCTTACTTGAGTCGGATTTATCTCCTCCTTACTATCTTCGTCCATGCTTCCATGGGGGGATATCGGTGTCATCCATTTGGCTGTAGCCGCTCTCACCTTGAGGAGGGATCCCTCCAACCGTGACCGAAGTGGAAATAATTGTACAATCCATTTCAATGTGAACTCTAGTATCAATCGAGAACATCGTTAAAAGGGCTTTTACCCCAACCAAAATCAGAACCTCAGTGGGCTATTATGAGGCTTGAGAGTTGTATCAGAATAAGTAGTGGTTATTCAGGAGCAACGGGGTCCCAGCACAAAAGCAGCATGCGTGGGGGAAGTGTGAGATCAGCTGGAGGAACTGTTCATGGTCATCAAGGAGGCATGCAGTCAGGGACTCCAGGGATGAACAACCGGGATTCACCTTCCAGCACTAACAAGAATGTTTTCATTGCCAAGTTTGACTACACTTGTCAAACAGACGATGAACCGCCATTCAAGTGAGTTTATGTTACGTGAGTGGTTGGATTTTGGATATTGAAAAACTCCAGCAGAAATTTTGACAGTGTTGAGAAAAGTGGTTTGAAGAATCCGATTTTTCTGAATTTTTTTTGGCGTCATAAAATATGGATCAAGTTAACATCCTCCCACCCAAGTAGACCAAGTTAAGATCTTCCACCCCAGCGTTGAATTTAATTTAATTTGATGAAAAAATGCTCTATTCTGATTGGCTGAAAAGTCGAACTCAGAAATAAGTTAAGATCCTCCCCCTAAACGGATTAGGGGGGGGGGGGGGGGAGGATGTTAACTTGGTCCTAAAATCTTACTGAAGGAGGTTTGCGTCTTCACGCAGCATAGAAAAAATACGAAAACAGTTCAAAAAATTATTACACTTGCGAGAGAAAATGTCTTAACTATTAAGCTCTAATTGGTTGATTTTTTGTTCGTGTAGCAATTATCTTGGGCAGGGGCGGGGCTTTCGCCCCCTTCCTCAGGGATTCGACCCCCTGCCGACCCAAAGGGTCCCCCTTTGGTATTTTTTGAAATCCATTTTTGGCCGCCCGACCCTAGAAGTTTTCTAAAGGCGCTTTGGGCACCAATATAAACTAATTTTGAGGGGGAGCGCGCGCCAAAAAAAAACGAGATGTTTTGGTCAACTTTCTCCAAAAAGTGCGAAAAAACGCGCCTTTTTGGACAATTTTTTTTAACATTTTGCCTGCGGTGCAGAAAATTTGGCCAAAACAGGGACTAAACCGTGCTTAGGGAGAGCTCGAAAAATCAATTTCAATTCGGTCGACCTAAGTCGACAAAATTTTCGAAATTTTTTAAAAAATCCACCACCCCCGAGAAAATCCTAGATCCGCACCTGATCTTGGGAATGTTCTGATTTCAAATTGCTTTTCATTTCCACCCTTTTAATTCCTTTTTTAGCCTTTAGCTGAAATAGCAGGTAAATCTAAATATAACTCCTCGTGACGAGAGATCACCAGTTGTTGAATTTTTATTGGCTGAAGAACTTTCTAGAACAAAATAACCTGACGAAGTTGTTGAAATCTAAAAATTACGCTATAAAAGCGAGCTCCAATAAGTTTTTAAGTGAATTTTAGTCTACTTTCTAAGTTATTTTTATCCGGCGTTAATAGTCAAGTCTTTGCTAGCAGATTAAAAACGCAGTGCTAGGGTTTACTTATAAATTGAATTTTGCCTAATCTGCGATATTAAATCTGCCGGGAGATAGATTATATGAGTGTGATAGGCTTTTAACGTAGGAATATGAATGAGGTTAGCCGTCAATTCACTTGAATACTCTGATAACAACAATAAAAATTTTTTTTTCCAGAAACGGTAAATTACAATCAATTAAAAAATAGTGTATATTTAAAAGTGTATCTATTATATATTTAAATGCGGGCTTCACTATCTCGCCATGTTTAAGCTTTTTCAACGTATTATTTTTGCATGTTTAAGCTATATCGTATATTGCAATGGTTAAGATTTTTTTTCGATTTTCCAATTTGATTTTAGTGGTTTTTTTAATGAGTTTGATTTAGGCAACCCAATATCGAATTAGGGGTGGCGAATTTGGCCTCCAATTTTGAATGCCCGATCATTTTAGTTAGCGAGATAAGACGATTTTGAGATTTTTTCAAAATTTTTCAGAAATTTCAAATAAAGTAATTTCAAAACTTGAAGTTCCCAACCCTGTAGTTGGGTGCTGTCAGAATGACTCTAAGGAGTTAAAAATCTTGCCTCCAATTATGATTGTTCAAATCCTTGTAGTTTTCGAGATATGACGTTTTTTGTGAATTTTTCAAAAAATTTTCAGAAAACTTAGATTATTTTTTTTTCGCAAAATCTCAAATTCCCAACCCTGTAGTTGGGTCCTGTCAGAGTATTCTCAAAGATTGCGAGTTTTGGCTCCAATTTTGATTGCTCAGTTCTTTGTAGTTTTCGAGATATGACGTTTTTTTGCGATTTTTTCAAAAATTTTCAGAAAACTTCAGTTTCAATTAATTATTTCTAAAAATTTGAAATTTCCAACACTATAGTTCGGTGTTGACAGGGTACTCTAAAGAGTTGCAACTCTTGCCACATTCGACTGCTTAACGCGACTGCTCAAATGCTTTTAGTTTCCGTGATGTGACGTTTTTTGATTTTTTCAAAATTTCTCGAAGAACTTATCTACAAAGAAATTCAAAATACTAACTTGATGAAGATACAACCTTATTGTCAGCGTACAACCAGGCGTCGCAAATCTTACCTCTTAATATGAACGCTCAAATCCTTTAAGTTTCTGCGATAAGACGTTTTTTTTTAATTTTTTTTTCCGGGAAACAGGTTCAAAAAAATTCACAAAATTTTGAATTCCTAACCCTATAGTAGGGTGCTCTCAGGGACTCTCAGTTGTTGCAAAGCTGGCCTCCAAATTTCTCCAGAGGCCCATTAAGTTTTCGTGATGACGCTTTTAAAATGGGAATTAAATAATTTTATAAGTTCGAAATTACCAACCCTGTAATTGGGTGCAGTCAGAGTACACTAAAAGTTTGCAGATGTTGTTTTCAATATATGCGGTTTTTCATGAGCTGTCGAAAAAATTGGAAGCACCGAAGGTGCGTTAAACGCTAGTATTTCATTAAGCAAATATTTAAACTTCGATTTTTTATTTGATTGTCATTTACCGTTTAAGGAGAACAGTATAAATGTATTTTTTTTGGTAAATATTTCATTAAGTGTGTTTCATGAATATTATTTGAGGTGATAGACTAAGGACAAAGATGATGTCCACTTGTGGTCTAAATTACCTGTGTAATGTTGAGGTTCGCTTGTGTGTGTTTTACAGGAAGGGAGATCTGTTGGAAGCGGAGAGTACGATGGGGGATTGCTGGATGGCCACACATAAGGCCAATGGCAAGAGAGGATACATACCCTCCAATTACGTAGAGTCATACATATCCCACAGAGCAGAGCCGTGAGTAGAGTATACATATTAAAATGAGCATCAACATGACACCCCCACGCAGAAAAATTAAGATATTCTACTCCAGCCTTTAATTTTAATTAAAATTGTAGAGCGCTGCGTGTAAAATGCTGTGATCTGATTGGCTTAAAATTATACTCAAATTCACGAAGTTATCATCACCTACCCCCCCCCCCCCCCCCAATATTTTGCATTATTTATATTACTAGGACATAGCTTTGGTAGAGAGAATACAGGCTTTGGTTAGAGAGAATACATTCTTTGCTAGCTTTTGCATTGGTCGTGATTTGCTTAATTGATACTTTTTACATAATTTTTCACTATTCGTTTTCAAGCTAGTGGTTATAATTTTCCCCACTTGAAAATCGACCTTTATAAGCTTGGCAAATATTGTCTTTTTTGGAGCAAATGACCTGCTTTGCCTCAGTGTGCTTTCTTTCAATGTGCTTTATTGACAACATAAAACATGCCATCCAGGGAAAAATGAAATCTGAAACAACATGCCCTGTTTGTTTAAATAAGACTACACAATTTTTGCAGATGTGAACAATGTTTTTATAGCCTTTTTGTAATCCACATCTGAACTGAAATTGACGTTTTCAACAAGTTTTCCAAACCTCCCATAAATTTATCGCCATATCAAATGAGGATGCTCAAGAGTGTTTTCTCTTTTTGAATGATGGTTATCTTAAATGGATGTTCAAAAAGAAAACGGCAAATTTATTGAGAACTTTGTTATGTTTTGAGTTATTTTTTTGCTTAGATGGTTTATGGAAGAAATAACGCGTCTATCAGCCGAATGCATGCTACGAGAGTGTGCCAAAGGCACCTTCTTAGTCAGACCTGCCGAGTCGAGGAGCAACAAGTTCTCTCTCAGCGTCAAAGACAACTCAGAGGTGAAGCACTACCGGATCCGAATGAACGACGAAGGCCTGCTCTTCATAGACAAGAGGAGCACCTTCCCTAACCTAGTCCAACTCGTAGAACACTGCAAGCAGCACTGCCATGGTCTATGTGTGAAGCTAGTGGCTTCAATAGAGCAAAATGAGGGTCCAGTAAGGACTCTTCAGAGTCTGTCGAAATCACATGAGGTGAATTGGGTGATATCGCTGAAGGATCTCCAGTTCGGAACCAAGCTGGGATCCGGACAGTTCGGAGAGGTGTTCAGAGGTTCCTGGAACGGCAATAAAGAAGTGGCTATTAAGACTCTAAAACAACGTATGGTTTTTTTTTACATTAGCTGCAAGTTTGAAAATTGTCTCAATTTAAGTTAATTTTAGTAAGATCAACTATGCTGAGAGAGATCTTTTTTAAAGACTGAGTTTTCATTGCAATTTGGCAGACATTGATCTTATTTTTAGTAAATGTTTTGAAAATGTAATCAGTGTGCAAAGCTTTTTGATCCCTATAACCTAGTCTAACTGCTCGTATTTAATTTATATCAATACAGAAAATCCTCCGATTTCTACATGTATCTAACCAAGCCATTGGTTTAATATCGTCGGTTTTGTATCAAACTATCAAAGATCAATTAAGTTTGCTGAGAGAGATCACTTTTAAAGACTGAGTTTTCATTGCAATTTGGCAGACATTGATCTTATTTTTAGTAAATGTTTTGAAAATGTAATCAGTTTGCAAAGCTTTTTGATCCCTATAACCTAGTCTAACTGCTCGTATTTAATTTATATCAATACAGAAAATCCTCCGATTTCTACATGTATCTAACCAAGCCATTGGCTTAATATCGTCGGTTTTTTATCAAACTATCAAAGATCAATTAAATTTGCTAGGATTAGAAGACCTATGCTTTCGAAACGCGTATTAGCATAAATAATGAAAAGAGTTTTCCATGCCATTAGGACAATGTGAACTTGGTCTGTCAAGGTATTAATTGAGTGACTTGTTAACTTATTATATTTTATTACTGTTTTATGCCATGAAGTGAAATTTCTGTGTCGCTTAATAATAAAATGATTGTTTCAGCTTTTTTGAAAAGAGCAAAAAAAGATCTTTTTAAAAACATTTTCAATGAAGTTCAAGGCATTTTTGGCATCATCAACACGTAAATTAAATTCAAATCTTCATCTATTGATCATTTGGGATGATGATAGACGCGACGGGCTTGATATTTCTTTGCACTATCCCAATTGAAAGTAACCGTGAAATTTATGAAGTGTCAATGAGCGAAATGAAGACACTTATTTAGTTCGTGATGATTTTTTTCTGGAAGTTATTCAAGCTCAAATTTGATTTTTTGTCTGTTGGTTTTTGATTTATTTTTAAGTTAAATTTAAAATTGTTTGCTTAACGGAAGGTAAATTACTCTCCAATTATAGTTACATGTCAATTTGCCTCAATTCAACTTGTCCCAGTCCAACTTGTCCGATTCCAACTTGCCCCAAATAAAAAAAATGAAACTTGCCCCAGATTCTTTGATATCCTCGTACAGCATAATGTCGGCATGAAATTGAAAGATTTTTTTAATTGAACAATTAAGCTTGAAACAAAATGCAGTGGTAATTATGCCGACTATTTAAAAATTACGAAGGAGCTAAATGAGCTAGTGCATATAAATAGTCAACAACATGGTCTTTTTGAATTTACTAGAAATGTTTTGGATTTTTGCATGAATATCCCGATATTTCTTCCGCCCTTGATTCTGCATTCCCCCCATAGCCTTCAAAATGTTGATTTTCTGATTTGTTGAGTCCATTTGAATCTTAACCAGGAGTGTAGAGGCTTGGGTGGCTCCCTTGAAATAATGCTGTCACTCGTATCAAGCCTTCCGCTGCTTCTTAGGAATGGTTCCTGAGACTCATAGGATATAACGGTTGCCTCTGTTTCGCCCTATTGTTTCGCCTTTTATATAACTTCTCTGAAAGTATTAGGCAAGTTCGTCATTTTTATCTGACAGGCTTTGCTCAAGATCTTATCGGTCCACCACATGCTCAATCTCAGTGACGCTCTCGAACGATCGTTCCACTAAATCAGTTGGAACAAAACTGAGAGCGAGTATTAAACGCAGTCAAGCTCAGCTTGCAGTTGTTTTCATAGGCTTTCTTTAAACCCAGCTCGTTAACTTTGCGTAAAAAGGCCTGGCAGAGGTGAAAGTAACAGCCATTGATTGAAGACTCTGGAAACGCACTTGTAAAAGCATTTACGGCAGCTCGTTCAAAATCTAGAAGGGTCCTCGATGGTTGCGCGTTATCAGAGACAGAGGCGATGGCTTTCAGGAATTTTGAATACGTCTGTTCAGTTTTGTTTGGCAGTAGAGCATAAAGGCATGGTGGATAAAATCCATCGATTTGAATGTGTATGGTATAAAGCTGGTATAATTGCATTTGACAAATTTTAAATATACCGTCGCAAAGCCAAAGAGAATTGTGAACTCGATGGGCTTGAACATTATCTCGATCACCAAAAATTAAAATTCAATCCATTACTCCACTGTCGAATAAACAGAAATCAGAATATATCGGAATTATGAAATGCCTGTCTTTAATGTTTGGCAAGGACGGGATCAAGTTCTGTTCTCATCTGTTACTTCCTGAGCGGCATTTAAGTGAATTGTATCTTGTGCATCTTCAGTGCTCAGTGGTTTTTGTCATCTGCTTTTTTTGCGAAATCGTGTCCGTCAATATTAAGCGTTTGTTTTTTTTTGTTGAGATGTTCCCCATGTAAGTTGACTCATAGCATTTATGTTGGATCATTCGAAAGAAAATGGTAAACAATGAAGCAAAATGAAAGAATAGCCGTCTTTCATTTTATTTCAATGGCGCTAATTGTGGATTTTTGTCAAATTTGGGCGTGTAATTACCAAAAATTATGGTTTTGTAGAATCAGCTTCATTAACTTTTGATTAGAGTCTTCTGTTATCTCAAAACGAGTTCAGTCTACATTAGCACTTGCTGGTCCTCATTTTGAACATCAAAGAATCAAGTGAAAGTGTTAAGTATGGAAAAAAAAGGCATAGGACAAAACGTCATCTGGGGGGCAAGTTAGTATAGGACGCGTTGGCATAGGGCCAATTGACTTGAGGCAAATAGTCCTGACTTCCCAATTACGAATTCAAAAATGGCGCAAAAAACGTGATGAGTTTTAGTTTTGAAAGTGAATTTCATTTTTCAGGTTTCCCAGTGAAATAAAATAATTAGTTTGGCAAGTGGGGGTATTTAAAAGTGCCGAAAAGGAAAATTTCGAGAATTGAACCGTTTTTGTAATACTTTAGCTCGTTTTTAATCTACTGGATTCAATATCGGGTTTGCTTGAGATTTGGAGCACTTATTGGGAGAAATAATTGCTTTAGTTATTGTTAACTTGCAATAATTTAGGAGAAGCACCTCAGGCTTTGATTAGTTTCTAAAAGATTCAAAGAAATTCTCAGATTTAAGAAAAAGTAGTCTTGATTTTTTCTATATAAATGACACGAAGTTTAGAGCACCAATTGAGAGACAAGTCTATTAAATGCCGTTGTAATTGTTGATTTCAAATTGACTCTTACCAACTGGCTGTTGGCTATGTTTAAGCAAAGAAAGTTGATAAGTATCTGGCCTGAAACTAAATTTATAACTATAAATTGAGGACTGTATTCCAGGAACAATGGACAAAGAGGACTTCAGAAGGGAGTCGAACATTATGAAGAAGCTGCAACACAAGAACCTAGTGGCTCTCTACGGAGTGTGCATAGAGGCTCTGCTGATTGTGACAGAACTGGCCAAGCATGGAAATCTCCTAGAATTCTTCAAAAGTGAGTAGAATCAACTTTTTTTAGAGTAGGATAACTAAAACTATAATAGTATTTGATTTGAATTTAGTAGTATTTGAATTTATATCACAATCGGGCTGATGTGTGTTGCAAGCATACCAGCAGAGGGTAGGACTATATATGAAAATTAGAGACGGTTTTTGCAGCAGAGCGCGCCCACTGGCTACCTCAAACTTTTTGTTCGTAGTTGTCACTTGTAAAAGTGAGTGACCCAGTTGTCCCTTAAAGTTTTTTTTCAAGTGAAATCTGGTGTCTTAAAAATTATTAGTTTGAAATCGTTTGTTTTATCCTATCCTATTAACGCCTTCTTAGTCGAGATTGGGAATCCTAAAAAATATCGTCTTTGAATGTTTCTTGGAGGATGGATGAGAGACGAACATTCTTATTACCACGGAAGTGCCTCCAGTTTGCTCAAACTGAATTAATTTTTTTTATCAAAAGGTTTGGCTTTTTTGATACCATTGAACGTAATGAAGAAACCTATGCAGTGCGTTTATTTTCTTCTTAGTTTTTTAAAATTATTTTGTGTTTCGATTTTTGGATATTTACACTAGCGAGCTTGCGCGCGTTAGTATATTAGTTTGAAATTGTTTTTGACTGGCAAATAAAAAGTTTCGTTAAAATACTTATATGGTGGCACTTTTTGTTATAATCACGATCTGTAGCATTTGAAATTTCATCGCATCTGTTCTGCTTTATTTGTGGCTAGTGTTTGCGATTTGTTTAATGTCCGTAGCTGAGTGGTTAGTGCGTACGATGCATAATCTCCAGGCCAAGAAGATGCGTGAGAAGCATGATCCGAGACGTAGCCGAACTTTACTACTTCGAGGCTTAATTCTACTTTTTCTTATTGCAATTTATAGAGCTGCCTTTTGTCGTGTTCTCGCTCGTGTTTGCGATGCACAGCTTCGACTCTGTGTTTTCATGAGTTGAGTTCTGTTCCATTTTAAAAGGAAAGCAATCTCCGCTCTCGAACAGCCAAAATGTAGAACTCGCGAAATTTTGATCGACTTCTAGTTTCAAAAGTGGATTTTAACTTCTAGATTTCCCGACGAAATAGAAAATTTTACCTTTTGATTTTTAACTTTTTTTTGTTTTACAACTTTTCGTGGTTTGTCTTCAAATTTTTCAAGCTGAATTCAATTCTATTTGCTCAACAGAAGGCAAATTATTTCCTTTCACCCAGTTGTTAAGAGTGGATGAACGTATTTCAGACTCTTATAAAAGTCGCGATTTTTTTCCGTTTTTTTTTCAAAGCAAAAGTCATAAAATTTGTTCAGCTTCTAATCTTTTTCTGTTATATTTATATATATATATATCAAATTTATATATTTATTCAAATATATAATTATTTATTTATTTATTTATTTAAAGGAAATGAGGGCTTCACCATCTCGTCTTGTTTAAATTTTCTCAATGTATTATTTTTCCATGTTTAACAGAAGAATTTTTTCAAGTTTAAGCTATATCGTATATTGCAATAGTTGAGATTTTTCGATTTTCTAGTTTGAATTCAGTGAATATTCCACGAAATTTGAATTTAGCAGCCTAATATTTGGATGCTGTCAGGGTTTCACCAGGTGTTCAAATTATGGCCTCCATATAATAGTTACCAAATCTTTGTAGTTTTCGAGGATTTCTAGAAAACAACTTTCTAGAAAACAACTTTAAGAGATATTTCTAGAAAACAAAAAATATGAATTTCTCATTTCTGTAAATGGGTACTGACAAGGTACTCCCAGGGGTTGCGAATCTTGTCTCCAAATCTCACTTCTCAAATCTTTGTAGCTTTCGAGATCTGACGTTTTTTATTATTTTTCAAAATTTTCAAAAAAAACTCAGATTTAAAACAAATCAAAAACGACAACAACCACCAGCAATGGAACCTCGTCTAGCTCTGCGTTCTATAGAGAACCTCCAGAACTCTTCTGCTGCTCGACAGCTCTGTGATTAAATGTTTTTGTAAATAAAGGTTGTTTGGTATTGACTTTGTTTTATGTAATTGATTTCTTCAATTTCATTTTAATTATGAGAATAGATGAGAGGATCAGGATAAACCATTGAAAAACAATTAGAACTTAATTTGGTGCTCCGAACTCGCACACATGTTAAAAAATTAGATAATTTTTTGCACACATTCGGAAAAACACTAGAAAACTGTACACAAGTAAAAAGTTACCTAATCGATATTGCATCTTGTACACACTTTTAGCACTTTGTAGAAAAAATTGAAACACTTTTTGCATTTTGTCGAAAAAAGTGAAGCACTTTTCGCATTTTGTCGAAAAAAGTAAAACACTTCGCATTTTGTCGAAAAAAGTAAAACACTTTTCGCATTTTGTCGAAAAATTTGAAACACTTTTCGCATTTTATCGAAAAAATTGAAACACTTTTCGCGTTTTATCGAAAAAAGTAAAGCATTTTGACGAAAAAATTGAAACACTTTTCGCCTTTTATGGAATAAAGTAAAACACTTTTCGCATTTTGTCGAAAAAAGTAAAAACACTTTTCGCATTTTGTCGAAAAAATTGAAACACTTTTCGCGTTTTAGCGAAAAAAGTGAAAACTATTCGCATCTTCTCAAAAAATTTGAAACACTTTTCGCATTTTGTTAAAAAAATTGAAACACTTTTTACAACTTGTTAAAAAAAATGAAATGTTTTTTGCAACTTCTTGAAAGTCAAAAGAAATATTACATCTTTCTTTCATGTTTGAAAAACTTTTTGCAAGTTTTTTGACAACGGTGATTTTTTTTGGTAATTTTTGGTAATTTCCTAAACATATGAGAGAAAATAGATGGATTATCAAAATTTTTTTTAAAAAAAAATTGACATGATCACTATTTACAAATCCATAACCATCAAAAAAACAGTCAATTATTTTTAACAAATCATGTTCATATTTTGAGTTTTGTACTTGACGAACTATTTCCAGAAAAGCTGAACCAATAGTTTGTGTGGAAGCTAGTTTCTGGTTAGACAACAAGGTGAGACACCAGCTGAACAGTCTGGACAAAATCTTCAAGGACAGAGTGGGAGGGGAGAAAACGGAGGCCATACAGCGCATGTACAAGCAGATCACTCAGGAGAGAATGGCCATAGCTGCGGAGATACGAAAGACTGAGGTTATTTTTCTGTTTCCTCTAGGAGGAGGTTTCATTGAAATCTTGTTCGCCTCGTAAAGGCACTCCTCTCGAGCTGTGGTAGTTCTTGGTTAGTATTTTTGCTTTTTTCTTGGTTTTTTTGCTTAGTTTCTGTTCGAGAAGTCAGAAGTCAGCTGTTCCCTCGAGTCAGAAGTCCCCACTGTTGATGTTGTTTTGAATTCCAACTGATTATGCTCGCTACCCCCTGTACTGCAATCAAAACTGGACATTCGTTGCTGTAATTTGGGCGTCCTTCTTCTACTGGTAAATTGGTTACTGGCAGAATTGGCAATTTTTAAGTCAATGTTTCTACTTTCGATTCTTTTGCAGTGAACACGTTGTATGCAGTGAAGAACGTTGAGGATTTTGTCTTGTGGTATTTTTAACCTCTCTTCATAGATGCTGGCCAGATCTTGAGCACAATAGATCTCCCCCAGATCCGAGTCATTCCCACTGTCTGAGGTTTTATCCGGAGTTCTTTCTCCACTTTTCGCTTTCAGGGTAACTGGAAAAGTTAATAACTTTGCTGGTGTGACTCCGTCGTTTGCCAGTTCTCTTAGGACGATGTTATAAACGTCGGCTGAGTCATCTGATTCTTGAATCGCAACTGATACTTTTTGTTCCTGGAGACAACTATTGAAAGTCGAGGCACTATTGATGGATCCGTCTGTTTGCCAGTAATTCGGATCCATAGAAAAATAAACATGGGCAGCATTTTCGGCATGTTTTAAACTGTTGACACTTGATAAAATTTCGGCTTTGACGATAGGAATTGTGATTCCCATCAAGTCAAGATCATTTTCTCTTAGCTGCTTGCACAGCTCGAAATCATCATAGCCGTTATCAATGAATAGCTGTGTATACTGTTTAAACCCGAGAGAGCTCAGCCATTGCTCTATTCTCATTACACTCATGAAAACTGTCTATCTAATAAGTTTATCACAACAATTAGGCTAAAAGCCAATTTGGATGCTCGCATGTGGGAGTGTTGTGACGAGGTGATCCCTGCATGAACTGCTGCTGCTGTTGTATATTCATTTGGTCCCCGTGGTGGTGCTGCTGGTCATTGACACTGTCTAATCTCATACCCTCCAAGAAAACGTTCATGTGGGAATCAAAAACAGGAATTCGACTATCATGCTCGTAATACCAAATAGCCTAATTGTTGTGATAAACTTATTAAATAGTATTTGTTCAAATTTACCGCTTGTGCGTTTTCATATCATATACATATCATATTATTGAGGTTTTTGCTCGTAATATGGCCCAATGCTTTTGACCTGAATAGGAAAAAAAATTTCTTCGGATTTGATCTAACCATGCTCAATCGACCCAGCAATCTGACGGTCACGATAATATCTTGTGCATTTGGCAGTAGGAATCTGTCGTAGATGATCTTGAGTGCGTTCACTTCGTATCTGGTTTCTCACTGGTTCGAGAAGTTGGATGCTCGCATGTGGGAGTGTTGTGACGAGGTGATCCCTGCATGAACTGCTGCTGCTGTTGTATGTTCATTTGGTCCCAGTGGTGGTGCTGCTGCTCATTGACACTGTCGAATCTCATACCCTCCGAGAAAACGTTCATGTGGGAATCCAAAACAGGAATTCGACTATCATGCTCGTAATACCAAATAGACTAACTGTTGTGATAAACTTATTAAATTGTATTTGTTCAAATTTACCGCTTGTGCGTTTTCATATCATATACATATCATATTTTTGAGGTTTTTGCTAGTAATAAGGCCCAATGCTTTTGACCTGAATAGGAAAAAAAAATTCTTCAGATTTGATCTAACCATGCTCAATCGACCCAGCAATCTGACGGTCTCGATAATATCTTGTGCATTTGGCAGTAGGAATCTGTCGTAGATGATCTTGAGTGCGTTCACTTCGTATCTGGTTTCTCACTGGTTCGAGAAGTTGGATGCTCGCATGTGGGAGTGTTGTGACGAGGTGATCCCTGCATGAACTGCTGCTGCTGTTGTATATTCATTTGGTCCCAGTGGTGCTGCTGCTGCTCATTGACACTCGAATATCATACCCTCCAAGAAAACGTCCATGTGGGAATCCAAAACAGGAATTCGACTATCATGCTCGTAATACCAAATAGTCTAACTGTTGTGATAAACTTATTAAATAGTATTTGTTCAAATTTACCGCTTGTGCGTTTTCATATCATACACATCATATTTTTGAGGTTTTTGCTCGTAATATGGCCCAATGCTTTTGACCTGAATAAGAAAAAAAAATTTCTTCAGATTTGATCTAACCATGCTCAATCGACCCAGCAATCTGACGGTCTCGATAATATCTTGTGCATTTGGCAGTATGAATCTGTCGTAGATGATCTTGAGTGCGTTCACTTCGTATCTGGTTTCTCACTGGTTCGAGAAGTTGGATGCTCGCATGTGGGAGTGTTGTGACGAGGTGATCCCTGCATGAACTGCTGCTGCTGTTGTATATTCATTTGGTCCCCGTGGTGGTGCTGCTGGTCATTGACACTGTCTAATCTCATACCCTCCAAGAAAACGTTCATGTGGGAATCAAAAACAGGAATTCGACTATCATGCTCGTAATACCAAATAGCCTAATTGTTGTGATAAACTTATTAAATAGTATTTGTTCAAATTTACCGCTTGTGCGTTTTCATATCATATACATATCATATTATTGAGGTTTTTGCTCGTAATATGGCCCAATGCTTTTGACCTGAATAGGAAAAAAAAATTTCTTCGGATTTGATCTAACCATGCTCAATCGACCCAGCAATCTGACGGTCATGATAATATCTTGTGCATTTGGCAGTAGGAATCTGTCGTAGATGATCTTGAGTGCGTTCACTTCGTATCTGGTTTCTCACTGGTTCGAGAAGTTGGATGCTCGCATGTGGGAGTGTTGTGACGAGGTGATCCCTGCATGAACTGCTGCTGCTGTTGTATGTTCATTTGGTCCCAGTGGTGGTGCTGCTGCTCATTGACACTCGAATATCATACCCTCCAAGAAAACGTTCATGTGGGAATCCAAAACAGGAATTCGACTATCATGCTCGTAATACCAAATAGTCTAACTGTTGTGATAAACTTATTAAATTGTATTTGTTCAAATTTACCGCTTGTGCGTTTTCATATCATATACATATCATATTTTTGAGGTTTTTGCTAGTAATAAGGCCCAATGCTTTTGACCTGAATAGGAAAAAAAAATTCTTCAGATTTGATCTAACCATGCTCAATCGACCCAGCAATCTGACGGTCTCGATAATATCTTGTGCATTTGGCAGTAGGAATCTGTCGTAGATGATCTTGAGTGCGTTCACTTCGTATCTGGTTTCTCACTGGTTCGAGAAGTTGGATGCTCGCATGTGGGAGTGTTGTGACGAGGTGATCCCTGCATGAACTGCTGCTGCTGTTGTATATTCATTTGGTCCCAGTGGTGCTGCTGCTGCTCATTGACACTCGAATATCATACCCTCCAAGAAAACGTCCATGTGGGAATCCAAAACAGGAATTCGACTATCATGCTCGTAATACCAAATAGTCTAACTGTTGTGATAAACTTATTAAATAGTATTTGTTCAAATTTACCGCTTGTGCGTTTTCATATCATACACATCATATTTTTGAGGTTTTTGCTCGTAATATGGCCCAATGCTTTTGACCTGAATAAGAAAAAAAAATTTCTTCAGATTTGATCTAACCATGCTCAATCGACCCAGCAATCTGACGGTCTCGATAATATCTTGTGCATTTGGCAGTATGAATCTGTCGTAGATGATCTTGAGTGCGTTCACTTCGTATCTGGTTTCTCACTGGTTCGAGAAGTTGGATGCTCGCATGTGGGAGTGTTGTGACGAGGGGGATCCCTGCATGAACTGCTGCTGTTGTTGAAGGTTCATTTGGTCCCAGTGGTGCTGCTGCTGCTCATTGACACTGTCGAATATCATACCCTCCAAGAAAACGTCCATGTGGGAATCCAAAACAGGAATTCGACTATCATGCTCGTAATACCAAATAGTCTAACTGTTGTGATAAACTTATTAAATAGTATTTGTTCAAGTTTACCGCTTGTGCGTTTTCATATCATATACATATCATATTTTTGAGGTTTTTGCTCGTAATATGGCCCAATGCTTTTGACCTGAATAGGAAAAAAAAATTTCTTCAGATTTGATCTAACCATGCTCAATCGAGCCAGCAATCTGACGGTCTCGATAATATCTTGTGCATTTGGCAGTAGGAATCTGTCGTAGATGATCTTGAGTGCGTTCACTTCGTATCTGGTTTCTCACTGGTTCGAGAAGTTGGATGCTCGCATGTGGGAGTGTTGTGACGAGGTGATCCCTGCATGAACTGCTGCTGCTGTTGTATGTTCATTTGGTCCCAGTGGTGGTGCTGCTGGTCATTGACACTGTCTAATCTCATACCCTCCAAGAAAACGTTCATGTGGGAATCAAAAACAGGAATTCGAATATCATGCTCGTAATACCAAATAGCCTAATTGTTGTGATAAACTTATTAAATAGTATTTGTTCAAATTTACCGCTTGTGCGTTTTCATATCATATACATATCATATTATTGAGGTTTTTGCTCGTAATATGGCCCAATGCTTTTGACCTGAATAGGAAAAAAAAATTTCTTCAGATTTGATCTAACCATGCTCAATCGACCCAGCAATCTGACGGTCACGATAATATCTTGTGCATTTGGCAGTAGGAATCTGTCGTAGATGATCTTGAGTGCATTCACTTCGTATCTGGTTTCTCACTGGTTCGAGAAGTTGGATGCTCGCATGTGGGAGTGTTGTGACGAGGTGATCCCTGCATGAACTGAGCATTTGGTCCCAGTGGTGGTGCTGCTGCTCATTGACACTGTCGAATCTCATACCCTCCAAGAAAACGTACATGTGGGAATCCAAAACAGGAATTCGACTATCATGCTCGTAATACCAAATAGCCTAATTGTTGTGGTAAACTTAT